AAATAGATGTAAATCCAGTCCGCATTTATGACGATGTATCTCTGTAGTTGTTCGTAAAATAATTTTTTACTGCGAACTGGTTTAATTTGGGCAAAAAATTCAAGAGACATTTTTTTTTAGAATGAAACAGGCTATCGGAAATAAATTTTTAAATGGTAAAAAAATAATAAGACAAAAAATTACGTTGGAAATAAATTTTAGGGGTTGCGTTTTCCACCCCTTACTACCATGGGGTAAACCAAATAAATTACTGGCTAAGTGTCTTTTTGGTAGTAGAAAATGTCAGGTTAATTTCAATATTGTAACTTGTTTAGTGCTTGTGAAAAAAATTGTTAAACAAATTTTATGTACCCCCTTTAAGGGGCTGTATCTTAACAAGGGATGCTCCAATGAAGTTTCTTTATATGAAAGATCCTATCTTTTTTTCGATGAGGAATCACCCCCCTTAAATGTTTTACACTTATTTAGTTACACCCTGTATAGTAATACTAAGCAATGATGTACGTAATGTTCTGATTTTTACTTTATCCAAAAAAAATTTTTTTTAAAAACTTGTCCGGTGTCAATGTTACCCCATAGATAGTATAACATTGACACCCCATATAAATTGAAGCCTAAGTCAATCTTAGGGAATCGTTAAGCAACATTGACACATAAATTTGTTTTATGGCCTTTTTAGGTACTTAGAAACGAACAATTTTTCCTTTTTTTTTCAAAACTAAGGACTTATTGGGTAAAACAGCCTAAAAACCTTGTTGCTTTTAAAGAAATCATATTTTTATTCTGAATAACACAAGAATAATGTAGGAACATTATTATCAAAAACTGGAACTTAAACTAGGAATTGCAACTTAAAAACATACAAACTAAATTTTGGTACGTGACTTTGGCAAGGTAACAATACTTACTAAACTAATAAATTTTGGTAACTCCACTAATGTGGGGCACTTTAAAAAAATGCATTCCTCTATTTATCGCCGGTTCGTCAATAATTGCAACTACTGCATTTAATAATACCGACTCTGTGTCCTCAACATCAGGATATACAAAATACAAACCTTTTTTACGTAAAAAGTTAACCTTAATATCGCCATCCTTTACTTGTACAACCTTTCCTATGTAATGAATGATATCTTTTTTCCCAGGATATTTAACGACCACCCAATTCCCAAGTTTAACGTTTTGAATGTCAGCATGAGTACTTCTTTGACTGTTGTTTGTTTTAGCCTCAATTACCCCATTTTCTCCTTCTTCTTCAATTATCTCATTCTCTACTTGTTCATTTTCTGCAGTGATCAAATCTTCAAAATCTTCCGGCTCATTGTCACTGTTATCATCATAAATTACCTCACTTTCTGACGAACTGGAGCTAGGTTGTTGTGATTCTTGTGCCTTTCTTTTCTTTTTTTGTTTGCCAATGGTTGCTTTTGGTTTTGCTTTTTTTTTAGATTGTTTTTCTTCTTCCTTTTCACGAAGTCTTTTTAAAACATCTTTGTCTGTTAGGCTTTCAGCAAATTTTCTGTTTACTCTGTTTTTTTTAATAACGGTCGATTTTTTTGTGTTTTCAGTCCTTAGGACTGACAAAATTGAATTTGCTAAACTTGTTTTAATATCTTCTGGTGTAGAAGGACAGGGTGTCTGTTCTGATATTTTATTCCTTATTATGTTGTAAGATGTCGACGGCAATTGGCCATTTTCGCCTGAGTCCCCAGAAGATGTGGATGGCATCTGAGCAGAATCCTCACCGTTAACAATGTGTGCCATCTGAGATTCTTTTGTCATTTTTTCTAAAGACAAAGGGTAAATGCCCGACCCATCAAAGCCACCTACCGCATTACTTCTGGACAAACTTGGAGTGTTGGCCAATTTTTTCATTAAAGAAGGGAATACAATTTTATCGATATTTTTGTAACCCGATTCTTGATAAAAATCTCGAAGTATTTTTCTCCAAGATGCCTTAACCGATTTGTAAACGCCAACATCCAGAGGCTGAACTAAATGGGACGTGTGAGCTGGTAAACAGAATATTTCGATATTATGTTTTGCGGCTGTTTCTATCAAGTCCAAAGATAAATGTGAGTTATGCCCATCCAAAATAAGAAGCTTAGTATCCTGTAAATCTGAAGTTGAAGGAATAAAACAGTTAGTAAACCAATCAAAAAACTGAAGGGACTCCATCCAACCAGACGGTGAACAATTATAACAATTCTCCGGTCCGTCCACGCACCAAGTGGAATACAGGTGAAGTCCTTTGTAGTTGATAAACATTGGTAAGAAGTCTCCAACAGCATTGCAACATATAAGGACCGTGTACGTAGCTTTTGTGACGCTACCGACTAATTTGTTTGGATTTCGGCTACCCCTTTTCCACAACACTTTCTGGACACCTGCATCGGTTTGAAAACCAATCTCATCACAATTAAAGATGTTCTGTGGCTTTTTATCCAAACCGAAACGCGAATAGACAGCTTGCAATTTATTATAACAATCTTCCATTACCTACCGTGACCCCGCTACAGCTCTATTCTTGGAAAGATTTTGAGCCACTCGTCTACTTATTTCTTTAGACCATCTTTTTTCGAACATTATGCACCAATCAATACCTGGCATTCCATTGCGGAACGGATTCGGTCGATCAAGTTTTTGCACGTAGTCTTGCACACATCTTTGGAGTTGTAGTCGGTCGAATCCTTAGCCCCATTCGCCAAGCTTAACTAACGTATGCACCAACATTTCCTCTTCTTCATAGGTTAAAACTGTAGGATGTCCAACAGCTTTACACTTAAATCCTTTAAAATGGTTCATTAAAGTAGTCCGGTTTATGCCATAACGTTGAGCGGTTGCCTTAAAACTGTCACCCATTTCTAACTGCTTGCAGAGCTTTTTGCATAGCCTCGTGATCATAGAACTTGTACTTTCGAATATTAGGACGTCTGGGTTTCTTTGTGCGTGCCATCTACCAAAATGTTGAGAGTCAAAGTTGGCCTAAGGGTTACATTGTCAGTGTCAATGTTGGACTAGGGGCTAACATTGACACTGTCAAACATAACCTTAAATTAATTTTCATAAAAAAAATGTTTAGTTTTACAAAATAACTAACTGATACAAAAACTGATTTGTAATATTAAAAGTAGAGCTTAAATTACCTTTAACACCAAAACTTCGGGCCTGTTGACTCAAAATTCACAAAGTTTTCTATGCAAATATTAGGAGCACGTTAAACATCAGCTGTTAAAAGCCGCCGTTATAAATCCACAGGTTGCTGCGGAGCATGCGCATTACGTCTATACAAAGCCTTCGGATGGTAATAGAGCACCTTAAAGAGAAAATAGTATGGCTACCAATGTAGTCACATTTTTTATTAGATTTAGAAATTGTGTCAATGTTATACCAATGTCAATGTTGGTCCGTGCTACCTTACAACATAACAAACATTTCGACTTTTACAAAACCATCAATTTGTAGTAAAACGGCAAATCTTATGTAAATGAATTATTTTCGTTCAAAATAATGTTTATATAAAAAGCGGTACAATAACTTTATCTTTTCCTACAACTTTTTGAAAAATAATCAAAATCCTTCATAACTGCATCATTAATTAAATTAGTGATTTAACTTGTTCTATTTTGTCATTTTACTCATACGACATAGATGTAGATCTGAAGTTGAAATAAAAACTAAATATCTGGAATTATTATTATTTTTGCTCCAATTTTAGTCTAAAGCATAGCGATCTT